CACGGTGGTTGGTGGACAGTAATATAAATAGAAGATTGTGAAAGAAAGCCTTTAAATGTTTTCTTTTAGTAAATAAAAAATAAAACAAAATAAAAAGCACCCTTCCCTTCAGTGTTGCCATCTTGAAAACAATAAATGTATTCTCACACCTGTCCAAGGACTCTATTTGGAACTAACTCCCCCTCCCACAGTGAATACTCATAACATTCACATGGCCTCTACATGCCACAGAGTTAATAAAGCTATTCTAGGTAAACAGCACCCATGAACGTCATTGCTTGATATGATAGAAACTGTATAGGTTTTAAGTCACATGCCCTGCTTCTCTAACCATGAGCATCCTCATCTATGAACTATGAATACTTACATCATAAAGTTGTTAAGTCCACGAAGGGGCTAGGGAGATGATTTGCCAGCACCCAAATGAAGACTGCATGCAGTAGCATTAGCCCAATAACCTCAGTATTGATGGAATGGAGACAGGTGGATCCCCGGAACTTGCTAATCAGCTAGTCTAGCTGAAATTTCGATGATGATGATCATGATGGTGATGGTTGTGGTTGTGGTTGTGGTGGTGGTGGTGGTGGTGGTGGTGGTGATGTAAGCACACACAGATACACAAACAGGAAGAGAGACTCATATTTTTAGTTATATGTAATTAATAAATCTTGAAGTCCTATTATTTTCTCAGTAAATAAACTTTCTTTTCTCTTTTTATAAGAGTTCATTTTGGTGACACCAACTTGTAATTATAAACATTCACTTGTGAGCACTTTCTTGAGCTCACTCTAGCCCAAGCACCAATCTGCTCTGCCAGTGGCTTAATGATTTAACATAAGTTCTAAAATGTCCCCTGTAATAGGAAAAGTTCCTTCAGTCTCAGTTTCTTTCTCTTCAAGAGGAATTAAGAACAATGATGACCCTTGGGAGGATATGAGGCTCTGGAATAACAAGGTTCCCTTTTTCCTCATGTCCAGGTTTTCTTCTTCTCAAAGCTCTGCTGAGCCCCTAATTTTGTCCCAGCTCCAGAAAGCTGTTCTTTGTGACCTATAGAGCCACACCCACATGGTGCTTTCAGGGAAAGAACATTCTCTTTTTAACAATCTTTTTCTTTTTCTGAAAAGTTCTTTTACTTTCCTGCTTTATTAAAACTTTTACTTCTTGGAAACCAACTTCTACTGTGACCCTCCAGGACTGGTGCTTCTCACAGTCATACTTTCTTCCACAGGGACTGGCGATGGGATAAATGTTATCCTTGCTGTCTGGTGCAGATCCTAAAGTCATTTACTCTTCCCTGAGTACTGCATCTAGAACACCCACAGCACTGGACAACCTGTTATCACACCCAGGGGGCTCATCATGTCAACCCAAGCATCTGCTTTTCACTCTCTAATCCTACACTTACATTCCAGAATTCCGTAGCTGTGATGAATTACCAGAGACAAATGGTTTATAGAAGAAGGATTTTCTTCCAGTTCACAGTTTTAAAGATTTTAGCCCTTGGTCCGTTGACTCCATTGTTTCTGGGCTTGAGTTGAGTATGGCAGAGTCTTATGGCAGGGAACAGGTGACAGAGCAAGGTGACTTGTCTTGTGGCAGAGAGAAAGCAGGGAGGAAGGAAGGGATCTGCCCAGGGACAGTTATAACCTTTAAAGGCCAATATGAACTACATCTTCACTCTTTAAACCAATCATTATATGCCAGGCATAACTTATCATATAAAAGTCTTAAAACGGTTAAAAGTCTTAAAAGTCTTAAAATACTGAATTTTGTAAATAGATTAAAATTATTTATATTTCTATTTATCAAGGTCAGGGTTAACAGTGCAGCTTAGTATAAATGGTATTTATATGCCACTTTCAGTTAATTGCCTATGATTGTTTTAATATCCTGTCTTGTTAACGTCTTAGGATCTGAGATATGTTTCTTTTAAGCAATGTACAAAAGATATTTTTACACTCCTAGTGTATAAACTAGAGTATATGATCTGCTTATACTTCATGTAGTTAAGGTATGATAAGTGATTGTGGGGAAAATAAGTCAGAAAAGGGCTTAGGAAGTATTGTGAGGGTCATCTGCTTTTAATAATGTTACCAAGCACACGAAGTACCCAAGCAAAGACCTTAGGAGCACAAGACTGAGCAAGGCTGATTTGTGGAAGAAGGTTGTGCCCGAAAGAGTAAGCAGAAAATGCAAGGGCTCGTGGATATGAGTTTGTCTGAGCTGCCCAATGGGAGCCAATGGACTAGCAGGGCAGAGAGGACTACTGGGTAAGCACTGGAAATGAAAGTTGAAGATTTGGCGCTGCAGTGGAAAAGCTGACCTTGTAGGGAAGGGCACTAGGCCATGGCAAGTACCATGCCTATGATCAGATGCATCAACACTGGAAATACTGGGCAAAAAAATGAGAGGTGTACTCCATCCATAAAAACTACAGTACCTGAAGTCTTAGAATCCCTTAAGCTGCTAAGAATTTCCACCACCTACCTGACCCACTCTACTGTGCCTAGCGACTTCCCTTACTTATGTACTCAGCGTAAGTTTATATTCCTTCCTTTCCTCCCTCCCTTACATAGTCCACCTTCACATCTCTCAATCTACTAGTCACCTGGCAAAAACAATCCTAAATTAAATCTGGTTCTATACATACTCTGAGCCTTCACTCACGAAGATAACAGATAACAACCAATGCTGGAGAAAAACACACAATCAAACTGACTTGAACTCAGATTTGCATCTAAAGTGAGCCTACCACATTTCCCTACCCCACCATCCCAGGAGGCCATTTTATACCTTCTCTTACTTTAGCAAACCTGCACATCCTCCACTTCCTATTAGCTTATTTATACTCTCTGACAATACACACACACACACACACACACACACACACACACACATAATAGTTGCCAGAGTACTCTACCCCTGTTTTTACCAACCTATCCCACATGTTACCATGACGACATTGTCCTCCTGCATCTCTCAACCTCATGCTTCTACTTAATCTTTCACACTCTTGCAGACTCAAGGACATCTTATGAGCAATTATTCCTAATGTCGTCTGAATTGCTGATTTCCCCCTTCCTATTCCTAATTTTTATCAATATACATAAGTTATACAAGATAATGTAAAGCTAATTGTTTTTCTAATTCTAGCATGGATTTCTGGATTGGGTGGTGGATAAGTGCATAGAATACAGTCATCACTGAAAGCATAAAGTTTAATATGAAGCTTCTGTCCCAAGTGCCTATTCTAACTATATAGAAGTTCGTTGAGATGAACAGACTTTTCATCTGTTTAGGTTATTTTTAATCTATTTAGTTTTGATGTGTGGTATATGTATTTATTTGCAAGTTCTTTTATAATAAAGTTTATAAAATCAAAAAACATACAAATGCTTTTTATTATCCTATTTTTTGAAATATGTATTTTTGAATCCTTCTCCTTCTGGGATTTCCCATGTCTCCATCCCCTGTAGAGATTCCCATGGGTGTAGTTGTATCTAAAATATCCCCTAACCATGTGATTATTGGGAAGTGATTGAACATCTAAGAGGTAAGATCAGTGGAGAGTGTTAAATCGTTGTGGGCATGCTCCCTAAAGGTAACAATGAAACCCTAGCTTACTCTTCCTATTCTTTCTTGCCACTTCCCGGCTACCATGAGATAAGCAGGCTTCCTCATGATGCCGTCACAGGTCCAAAGTACCAAGGCCAAATGATGACAAACTACTTATCTTTCTAACTTTAAGCCTTCATCTTCGTGGTGAACTATCTTTTTAAGGTTTCAATGCTATCAAATTGGCAATGCTCTTTTTTATTTTTAACGTTTTTATTGGTTCTTTGTGAGTTTCACATCATGCACCGTAATCCCTCTCGTCTCTTCCTCCCCTCATACCCACCCTCCACCCGTGCAACAACCCTCCACAGCAAACAGAGAAAAAAATCTTGTTGTGGAAGCAGTAGTGTGTCACAGTGTATCCTATAGTATATACCCTTCTGTCCACAATTCTTTGTTTGCAAATGTTCACTGCAATGAGTAGTTGGTCAGGTTGAGGCCGCTGGCTTCTGCTACTCTATCAATACCGGAACTTGACTGGGATCGCTGTGTCATGGAGATCTTGTTGTTTTGTATATGTAGGATCAGCCCCTTCATATACTCCATCAGTTCCTCAATTGAGTAGATGTTGGGGTGAGCCAGTTCAAAGCCATGGATCATACCCAATGGCCAGCACACCAGCAAACTGCCTTTCCCTCCCCACTCCCCCACTTGCAACCAGAGCCAGCTTTACTCTGCTGCTGCCCATGTGAGGTGTTATAGCTGTGAAGAACATGGCCAGTTCTATCCACTCTCATGACCCTAGGGCCAAGTCTTTAGCCTGCCATAGATGCTGAAGGATGAGGGAAGGGAGGAGGGCATTACTCTCTCATCTATGTCACAACTCAAAGGACAAGAGCCAGGGCCAGCTCTCCTGCCCATGCCCTTGGAGTCATCTCAACTGCAAGCCCTACATCCAGGGCCAGCTCTACTGTGCTGATGCAGGGCCTGCTGTCCAGAATGCTGCAGCAGGTCCACACCTGGGCAGCTACAGCTGTCTTGCTCTCATGACCCCAGGGATGGATCTCCTACCTGCTGTAGGAGGCAAGAGAAAAGAGGAGGGAGGATCTCTTCCTTGCCCATGTCACTGTATGCATGACTGTCTGGGTTTGTCTCAGAAATGTTATGCTCTGCTTGTGCATTATGTAGTCAGACTAGTGGTCACCTTGGGCTGTCTGTCTGCCCGGGTCCATGGTTCCAGTCTGGTGGTCATCTTTGGCTCAATTCTTGCCCAGACTGCCCTAGTGGCCTCTTGTAAGGGTCATCTGTCTCAGGCTCACTCCTGCCAGAGGTTCACATTCCCAGCTAGGATTCTTCTAGTCTCTAGCTTGCCCCTTATCCTGGGAGCCTATTTGGGCCTGCCTGGCACCAGACTGGTAGTCATCTCAGGCTCTCTTTTTTTAGGGAATGTTAGGCTACCAATCATTCAGATTTTCATAGGACTAAACACTAAATATAGACATAGCCTCTCTCCTCTCTTCTATATACTGTTGTGACACAACAGCCACACCTACAACACCTCTAGAGGAAAAGGTGATACTCCTTCTTACTATATTACTTACCTAGTATTTGCAATGTTTTAAGTAGAACGATGCCTTGGTTGTTTTCTGTTGCTATAATTGAATTTATAAATAATAGATTTTATTTATGATAACGAAGACTAAGAAGTCCAATAGGATAGCCAGTGGATAAATAGCCCCAGATGAGGGAGGGCTTCATGCTGCATGCTATAGTTGTATTAACAACTACAGAGGGCATTATCAAGCCAGAAGAGCAACTGCAGTAGCTCAGACCTTTCTCTTCTCACAAAGAATCTGTGCAGTCAAAGGACCCTATCTGTACAACCCTACCTAACCCTAATTACCTCCCAAAGACCTTCATCTCCAAAGACCCTTAACATATGGATTGGAGAACTGGGTTTCCATACCATGAACTTTTGAGGGATACAGTCAAATAGGAACACTGGGTTTATTGAATTCAAAAACCTGACTTAAGGGGAAAAGAATCACTTCCACACTCTTTAATAGACTAGTTCTCCAGCTTCAACTGCTTCTTTTAATTGTTTTAATCTGTAGTCATTATTTATTTATATTATGATTATTTTTATTTTTAATTAATTTATTTACATCTCCATCACAGTTTCCCCTTCCTGCTCTCCTCCTAGTCCCTCCCTCTCACCTCACTTCCCCTCAACTAACCTCTCCTTCCTTCATCCTCAGAAATGGAGAGGTTTCCCATGGATATCAACCTGCCTTAACATATCAAGTTGTAGTAAGATTAGGGGCATCTTCTCCTATTAAGACCAGACAAGACAGCCCAGTTACAGGAAAGGTATCTAAAGCCTGGCAACAGAGTCAGAGGCAGCCCCTGCTCCTGCTGTTATGAATCCCATATGAAGCTGCCCATCTGTTAAATATGTGCAGAAGGCCTAGGTCCATTCTATGTGTGCTTTTCTGGTTGATAGATCAGTCACTATGAGCCCCAATAGGCCTAGGTAAGTTAGTTCTGTGGGTTTTCTGGCTGTGTCCTTGACCACTCTGGAGTCTTCAATCCTTCCTTCCCTCTTCTTCAGGACTTCCCAAACTCTACCTAATGTTTGGCTGTTGGTCTCTACATCTATTTTCATCAGATGCTGGGTGAAGTCTCTCTGATGACAGTTAAGTACTCATTATTTAAATGAGCTTATTCTGGTTCTATAAGATGATTGTGTAAATACATATATACATAAGAAAAACCTCCTTGGAACTCAATTTACCTGCATGTACATATGTTATATATGTGTCTAAATGTTGAAGCTTAAGTTTACGCCCATCAGTTTTATTTGGGTGTCCAATAGAGCTCTCAAACCTATCCCATCAGTTCCTACCATGCCTCTCATAACTCTTTATCTTGAATGTTCACTCTGCTCTGATGGTTTTACAATCTACCACATTGTCTCTTATTTCTAGACCTTTTCACACCCCCCTTCTTCCTGTTTACATAAGTCCTAATTGCTCTGTTTAAAATGCAGGTGAGGAACCACTACCTCTGGTGCATCTGTCGGAGTTAAGTGCTTGCATTGCTTTCTAGCAGAATGTTGTGCAAACATTCTGATCAAGCTCATAGTCACAGCATCTGATTTGCTTGTCTGTGGTCGCCCAGATTAAGTAAACATCTTAATGAAGCTAAATCAACTCATTCACTCATTATTTTCCAAGTTCTTTCAAAGTACTCACTATGTAACAGGTATTTAACATACTTATTTAAATGAATGAATGGCGCTTATAAAACATTTTAAAGCCCACTTCACAAAGATGTTTCAAGCCAGCTGTAGAGGTATACATCTGCAATTCCAGCACTGGGGAGGATGAGGCAGAAAGATCTCAGCTTTGAAAGCAGCTTGAGCCAGGCGGTGGTGGCGTACACCTTTAATACCACCACTTGGGAGGCAGAGGCAGGCGGATTTCTGAGTTCGAGGCCAGCCTGGTCTACTGAGTGAGTTCCAGGACAGCCAGGGCTACATAGAGAAACCCTGTCTCGAAAAACCAAAAAGAAAGAAAGAAAGAAAGAAAGAAAGAAAGAAAGAAAGAAAGAAAGAAAGAAAGAAAGAAAGAAAGCAAGCAAGCAGCTTGAGCTACACCTGTAAGATCCTGTCTCATAATAATAATAATGTTTTAAATTTTTCAATATGGTAATTCTATTTTAGTAAGCTTAATCTCTTCAGGATATTCCTTTAAAGGAACAAAAAATATAGTTAAGTATTTGTTTCTTTAGTTTCCCCTCACCCATGACAATCATCTCTAAGGTTTACCTATAGTGGAAAGAAGAAAAAATACCTAACAGACAGCATGGATTGGTAATCATTTGGCTATACCTGGGCAGCAGGAAAGGGTTATTTGTAACATCTACCCTGCCTTATTTTTTTTCAAAGACTAGCAACTAGATTACCAAGTAGAATAATTGCTGTCTTCCTCTGGCCCCTGGAGTAACTGAGAGAGGGAATGCATAGGTTTTCAGGCCATATCTTCTCATCCCCAATTCTATCAGTTTCAATGTGGGCTTTCCTGTTCTCCAGATGACAGCTTCAATGAGCACTGTAAATCATACACCTACAAGCACTCACCTCAACACTAGCAACTACCCAAAACTTTGGTGAAGGGCATTCATTTACAGGAAAGCATCTATCCTTGAGAACTCAAGGCAATACCTCCAAACATGTTTTTAACTCACAGAGAAGGCTGGGTGAGTATATAGAGGAGACTTGAGACTTTGCCCTTGAAGAGATGTTGAAGAGACAGAAACAGAAATCACATCTGTGTGAAAGAGGAAGCAGAAACTGGTTGCTTCCTGTGTTCCTTCTCCAAATCTCGATCGTCCTGTGTCCAGGGACCACATGGCCTGGGCTCCAGAGTTACTACTTCCTGAGAAAAGACTACATACAAAGGAAAAAATAAAGAAATCCCAAACCAAATTTATTCTTTGTAAACAAAAGCTTTCAGGTCAGCCAAGAACATATTGGAAAATACTCTCTCCTATATACTTGTATATGCCTCAGAAGGTTTGGAAATGTGATTCTATCAAATTACTTAGAAGATGAGTTGAAAGGTATTCACCCTAGCAAAGCCAATTTTAATGATTGTATCAGTCAGGATAACAAGATTGCTAGTCCCCTAGCTCAGTGCTGAATGTAAGCATGAATTTCTCATTTCTTCCATATGTCTAGTACAGGGCTGGGGGAAGGAATGGTATGGAAAGTTTACATTTCTCCAGGGTGCAGGTTGATACTGAATTCTCCACACATGCTTCTCAACCTGGGACAATCAAACATAGAGTATCATACCTGACTGCTCAAGTTCTTGAAGGGGGTGTCATGCACCACTTCCACTGACTCCTCATTGGCCCATGTCAAATGGACTCACATAATCTCAAGCAGGAAGGACCTTTCTACGACATGCCCAAGATGAACAGCACTACTCCCACCACAGTGGGCCTTTCCATATTTTCACATGTTCTGCCATAGGTCCTTTGGAGGGAAGTATTGACTTGTCTGCAACATAAGGAGACCCAAATGAGGATGGTCAAGTAGAAGATTCAAGCATTAGAGTGAATACTTCTGGCAAGTTCTTCCCCAGTCAGATTCCAGGGTACACGGTGGTGCTAACTGTGGCAACTGGTCAATTTTCACTAAAAACCTGTCAGTTTGGAGCTAAAAGGAAAACAAGTAAATTCAAAGTTTAGACTTAGGAAGATAAATTGTCCAGATAAATTTTTGTGTTGCTCATTAATTCATTCAATAATATGTAAGTCTAGTATATGGCAATAAAGGAGGACAATGTGAAAGATATTATCCTGATAAGAGAAAAAATTCTTTGGTGGATACTTGCAAACTCTGAGTTCCAAGAATAGTGGGTACCAAGGAGAATCTTTGATTTTGCTGAATGAATACTAAAAGTGGGGTCACTAAATGTGGAAGAGGAGAAGAGATAATGAAATAGCAACAAAGAGATGCGGAAAGGAGTCCACAAATATGCACACAAATGTAATGTGTGTGGCTAAGAATGGGCTAGAAATGGAGGAGAGGAGAGATGTTAGTGATGGGAGAGAGAGAGAGTAGAAGGTACAGTTATCACACCTGCTTCCAAGTATACGACATCTAGACTGGAGATGAGGAATCAAAAGAGAAGTGAGCAATAACTTCTTGTATCCAGAGAGGAATAAACTCTCCTGGCCAAGGCCCCTCTATAATCTATCAGTGCACTTCAATATGTGTGAGTTTAGAGGTGAAGTCAGGATGCACCAAAGTTGTCCTCATGTGTGGCTAAGGAAAACCAGATCTGTACAAATTTGTTTGTAACAGTCATCACCTAAGGCTTAAAGCATAAAACCAACTCTATTGAGGAAGAGACATAGATGGAGACTTAAAGTGGATATATAGTAGAATTTTAGGAATCATGAGATAGAATCAATTTATTCCAGTCCCCTTTTATTCATACAGAATACACTGAAGATTTCTAGTGGTCATCTGAAACTGTATATAATACTGACATATATATATATATATATATATATATATATATATATATATACACAATGCATTTTCTATACACAGAGACTTATAATAAAGTCTAATTTATTAATTAAACACAAAAGGAAATTGGCAAATCAATTAATAATAAAACACAATGACCATAACAATACACTGTAACGAAACTGCTTCTATTTCTACTGTTGGGTTTGGTACCATTATTAAGTAAAAGAAGGGTCACGTGACTATAAGCATGGTGATACCATGATAGTTAGTGTGACAAAAGACATGGGCATTAAGTGACTAACAGGCAGGGACACATGTACCATGGAACACTTGGAAAGGGGATGATTCACATCCTAGATGGGATGGGGTTAGATGCACAGGATTTTTTCACTCTCTTCAATACAAGTCACACATACTGAAGTGCACTGATAGATTATAGAGGAGGCTTTGCCAGGAGAGGAGTTTATTCTGCTCTGCATACAAGAAGTTATTGCTCACTTCTCTTGAGCAATTTGGAGCACA